GCATAGGACAGTAAGCATAAATTTACAATATTTAAAAAACTGGAGTGCTTATCAAAGCACATTTAGAGAGTGAACAATATGCTCTTGCTGTCTGCACACAGACGGTTGATGTAACTTAAAAATAACCGCTTCTAATATGCGAAAATGTTGAGCGGACCAAGCTCTGTGCAGGGAAGTAATCGAATCGTCACTATATCTTGCCGTACACTCCAGCTTGTTTAGCAAATGTTGACCAATGGCCAAGTCCTGAACAGACTGGGTACAACGTATACTACAAATAAAAATAGCTGATCTAATATTTACAGGAACATGTTATCCGATCTGAGTCTCGAGTCGCTGTTTGGTTTGTCCGACATAGTCAGTTTCATATTGGCATTTTAATTTATAAACAACAGAACTGTCTTGGAAATAAGACAAACTATATTTTACAAACGAGGGAAAAGCTTGATTAGTTTCGAAGACACCACGTAACCTAACTGCCGATATATACGGGGTGCGGATGGTATTTGAGGACAAAAAGATTTAAGATTAATACTGCTTCTCACTAACTTCTAATGCTTTATTTTTCAGAAATCAAGGATGGAAATCTCTATGATAACAAATGAAATGAAAAGGCATGCTGTGATTGTGGCATTAAAGATTGATCATAACGATTTGGATATTGCATGTTTCATCAGAGTTACAAGATCGTTTGTCCACAAGACACGAAAAGAGTTAGAAGACACTGACAGTTTCCCAATGTCTGTATCAAAACATAAAATACATTCTACACGTTCTGATAAAGTGAGAACATCTGAATTTATTCAGGAAGTCAAGCATACAATTAATAAAAACTGAGGTCAATCAATGAGGTCAATTGCCAAAAACCTGCATGTGTCTGGAAAAAACCCGAATCAGAAAGAGTTTTCATGAAGACATTCGATACAAGTCCTACATGATGAAGAGAGGTCAATTTGTGTCTGAAAAACAAAAGAAAACCGTTTAAACAGATCCAAAAGGCTTTTAAACAAACTTAAAAATCCTTCAGAAGCTGGTGTGATTTGATTTTTTTCAGATGAGAAAAATTTTGCTCAAGATTAAAAACTTAAAAGAAGAGATGATAGATGGCTTTGTTCAGCTCCTTCTAAGGTGCCAAGAGTGATGCGCACAAAATTTCCTTCAAGTGTCATGGTATTGGGTGTTGTTAGTAATGAAGGACATGTTATGCCACCACACTTTTTTCCACAAGGTCTTAGAGTAAATGCTTCTGCTTATATTGAGGTTCTAGAAACAGTTGACAAGCCCTGGATTGACAACATATGCAACGGCAGGCCTTACATATTCCAGCAAGACTCGGCTCCATCCCACAAGGCTCTACGAACACAAGAATGGATGGCTGACCATTTGTACGTCACACCCAACATTTGGCCTCCTAACTCTCCAGATCTCAATCCACTAGGCTATTATGTGTGGAGTGTTGTTGAGAAGGAGGTTAATAAACAGCCTCATAACACCAAAGACTCTCTTAAAGCTACAATAATTCGAGTAATGTCTGATATAAATAAGGCCCAATTAATCAGAGCTTGCAGCCGATTTCGACCTCGTGTAGAGACAGTTATTGATACTAGTGGTGGTTTTATTGAATAAACTTAAATAATAGTTAGCTAAATTTCATGTTTACTTGTTTGTAATCAAATATAATTATATTCATTTGTTCGGCACGTTTTTACTAATCCATAAAATCTATGATCAAATACCAGCCGCACCCTATATATATATATATATATATATATATATATATATATATATATATATAGATGTATAGTAGATGTGCACCTACTCAAAAGAGTAGATATTTATTCAACCTCCCACCCCCACGAGGTCAGGTTGTAACACAAAGGTCGGTTTATGTGAGGAGCCCGAGCGCGTGCACCCGGGCAAGGACCAAAAAATTCCAGAGCCCCCGCAACCGTCGGTTGCGCTGGCCTCGGTGCGAGCACCGATCCTTCCCTCTGGTGCAATGGGAGGGCGCGGCCTCTGGCAGCTGTTCCCCAGGGCTGGGCACCTCTTCAGTATAATTTTCCTCAGTTGTGACTCTGTCTTTTGACGGCGTCGCCCTTGAGTGCACTCTGCTCAGAGACAGAGACGGAGCTGAGAAATGATAAGTAAACTTGAAATTACACACTAATTTGTTTAAATAATTATTGGCTTTTCTTACCTGGCACAGGAGTTAACCATTCCCAATGAGAGTTTACTCAGGCGTGGTTAACACGCCTGTGCTGTAAGTGTAAATATAATGCTCCTCATTTTAGATGGGAGAAGTTACTCATCTTTAAGGATTCGAACCCGGCGGCAGTACCTTCCTCATCGCACTAAAGAGGTTGGATCGGTGTAATATCGATGTCAGCGTGACAGCGGTCGCGGGGGGTTGGGCAAAAAACAATTTTTATCCCTGGCCCATTTGCATAAGTATACGCATGGCGCTCCCACATTGAAACAACCGTCTGTCACATCCTGCCTTGGCGAGTAAGTCGAGCAAATATACTTGGCTATAGTTTAGGTGTTACGGGGGCAATGCACTAAAATAGTAACCCAGTAAGTCCTCTAAATACTGGTGCCAAAAATGGCCACTTAGAGAATCGTTTCATTGAAATTTTATTCCCTCTTTGATCGTTTCTAAATTTAAATGTTTTTTTTTATTATTATTATTTACGCTATCGTCTCTGTACGTAAGATAAATGGAGTGTAGAAATCACTTTGATTATTTGCAGATGCGTTTAGCAAAATTACTGGGGCACGCAACTGGATCTGTTAACAAGTCGTAATTACAGAGCGAATTATATGAATGTACACTTCCCGAAATTTTATCTCTGATCAAATGTTTTTGTGAATCGCTGTCAAAACGGAAGTGACTGCATATGTAATCTCCTTCTCTATTGGGTACGCAGGCATGTTGTTGAGTAGATATTCATTTTCAAGTATGTTGTCAATCCACACTTTGGGGAACGATAACTGGGAAAACATATGTTCTCTTGTTTCTCTGCGTTTAAATGAGTCTATAGGTTAACTTGAGTCTGAAGGTAAATTTTGGTCAAGTCTTTCTTGATTCTAATGGTAAATATTGGTAATGTTTATATTTGAGTCTATAGATAAACATTGGTCAAATGTGTACATGATTCTGTAGGTAAATGATGGCCGTGTTTATACTTTAGTTCAGCGCTTCTTAAACTAAACTACGGATCGCGTCTCCAAATGGGATCCTGAAGCGAAATGATGTTAATTCACAAACGCACAATATTTAACGTGATGGGCGACGCAATCGCTGTGGTAATAAAAATCACGTGTGGCGACGTTGCAACTAGGGCAGTGAGGTCATGAATGAAAAAAAAAGGTTAAGAAACACTTCTTTAATGTATAGGTAAATTTTGGACTTGAGACTAATGGTAAATATTGGTCGTGTTTATATTTGAGTCTATCGATAAATTTTGCCTTAGTGTGTACTTGAGGCTATAGGCAAATATTGGTCGCGTTTATACCTAAGTCTATAGATAAATCTACAGTCAACACCATCACTTGATGAGACACTAGAAGTGTTGAAACAAAATGGGTATTTTTGTAGTGATGTTATAATATTATAATTTTGAATATATATATATATATATATATATATATATATATATATATATATATCTTAAAGAAAAACAGACTAGATCATCCGATAACACTTTTGGAATTGTTATCGAATGACCCAGCGTCCTTTAAAAGGGCTCTAGTGAAATAAATTATTATAATGGAACTTTAAAGTTGTCTGTTTTTCTTTAAAATATTAGCTCTGGATTTACATTGAGCTCTCAGGATTTCATACTCCATACAGATTACCAAGTTTTTCATAACTTAACAATATATATATATATATATATATGTATATATATATATATATATTTCGTGCTAAGGGAATAAATCCTTAAACCCAGGTGGATAATAGAAGAAAGGTTTATTGTACACAACCAATACAATATGAAATACGGTAGAGTTATACACACAGGTCAATCTAGTAGTGAGTGCCACTAAGTTGAAGGTCGGACATTCTTGCGTCGTCTCTCTCTTACTCTTCCTCAAGTCTTTTGTAGACTTGACTTTATAGGTACTTACTACCTATAGTGTAATCATTCAGGGGGTGACTGGTTATTCCATTCCATTACATCAATATATATATATATATATATATATATATATTGTGCGAGTGTAGTTGGTTAATTTATTTGTTAAACGGCGTATCACCTCCTTACGGGTCATTTAATGCCGAAATTTAATTTTTTGGGGAACTTTGAAGTGATAAAAAGACATGTTATTCTGTTTCTCCAATTGAATATATAATAGATGATGCTCAGCTTTTTGTGCATATTCAAGTTTATGTGGACATAATTACCAGAGGCGCTGATATGTAAGTTTTAAGTTTTAAAGTTAGATATTGGAATACAGTTTGATTTAAGAAATTGTAGGATATTATATGGCTTAAAGATATGAAAATTCATGTTAGTTGTTTGGTTGATTTTGTTTGGCCACATATCAACTACTATATGTTATTTAATGCCAAAATCTATATAATTTGAACACAATTTTATGTCTTTAACTAAATATATTTTGAACGCAATTGTATGCCTTCAACTATAGATGAAATGTATTGGTGCTAATGTATTGTCGGTCATTTTTATATAAAAATATACTGCTGTTATTTTTACTATTAAAATGTATTTTTATATTTTCGTAGTGTTTTTGTTTAGTGGGGGGCTCACTCTTTAGCTCATAGATGGTACCTAAGAGGTGCTTCCACTTTGGGTAAGGGTGGACCTGGGAACAAGTGATTCCAGGCTCCATAAAATCTCCATTCTCTCAATTACAGGCATTGTTGCCGGATGTAGTTTATCGTCAACCGCAGGATTTTCATGAGTGTAAGTAATACAGAAGTACGGTACAAGTAAGCCGCTTCGGTGTTTTCTCCGGTCGATATATTTGGTGTAATGCTTTTCTCTGTTGTGTTGCTCTGGACGAGTGGTTATTGTTGTCGGTACACTTGTGTCTCGTACGTATGAACGTTTCTGTGTTTGTCCGCTGTGAATTCCTCGATTGGCTTTGGGTGCGCTCTTATAAAGCCCGGAAAGTGGCACCAAATGAAAGCCAAAATTTAATATTTTTTGAACGTGTCATCATTGATTAAGAAAAGTCACGTGGTGTGCTTACTGCTACGTCCGTATGGCGGCGAGAGTAAGTCTGTTTGCTCGGGTCTAGTTCTAGACTTGACGAAATTGAGCATTTGAAAATGTATTTTTATTCATCAATATTCAAGAAAAGGTCAAGCGTGTATTGCGTCAAAAAACCCCCCAAAAAACTCTTCTTCTTTTATGTGCCGGGTCCCTTCAAGTCGTAGGCGATCATGGCCCTTCACATCTTCCCGACCCTTGTAGCTCTTAGTAAGTCTAGTCGTTTTGGTTATTTCTTCCAAACCTGTTCTACCATCCATGTGCTCAAGTTCATCAAGTATATTACGAGCTGCTTTTCTCTATCCCTCTGTCTCTTAATCCGTCCCGTGAGTATCAAATTTTCCAAGCCTTCCTTCCTCATTACGTGCCCCCGAAACCTCAACTACCTCTAATATTAAGTATACGTTTCATTTTTGTTTCCATTTTCTCTTAAACGTCGTTGTTGCTCAAGTTTTTGGTTCATGGTACGTTCAGCATCGTTCTGTAGAATGACATTTCTGTTGCTTCATGTCTAATCTTCATTTCTGAGGAGACTGCCCAGCATTCGCTGATATACAGGAGGACAGATATCACGTAAGATTTCAAAACTATTTTCCTACGGAGCGAATTCTCAAGACCGTATACAATACTCACCTGATGAAAGGCGAAAACGGTATCAGTCAAAATGGCGTGTTTATGAGAACAAACAGGAAAACAATAGCGTGAATACTATAAAGAATGAGAGGTAAAACTTAATCAGAAACCGAGGAAAAGTCAAAGACTCGGTAACAACGCTTGCTGAAGAATTGTTTAAGATAAGCTTAAAAATGTATCGTTTGTTAGCAGTGAAGTAAAAAGTTAACACTTAAATTGACATCAGAGAAAAAGTGAAAAAAAAAAGGTAGTAAATTGAAGAATAGGGCTACGATGTTGTCTGAAGAAGAGGTAAAAAAAAAAACCCAGACAGACATAAATTATGTTACAGAACTAATCAACACTCGGCATACGTGTTTCAGTAGATATTTTGTTTGTTTCCTTTAGTTTATGGCCGTTCTTACATTGATAAATGGAAGTATATTTTCTTACACGAAGCGAGCACTTGGAGAATGAAGTTGTTGCTAGTGTTAGCATTTCCCGAGTTATATTAAGTGTTTCAAATAACGAATTCCATGGCTGAAACGAGGCTCTTTCTTTTATGAAGAGTTAGGCTTGACAGTTTCCTGGGAAAAAAAAGTGTATTTATTGCTGGCTGACCCAAGCAAACAACTACACATAAACAGCTAAGAGACAATCTTCCTGTAACTATTCCTCTTCCACACAATAATACACACACACAAAATGCTTCACGCACACAGTCATACATATACAAGAATACTCCCATACACACAGCAATATACATAGATAATAGCATTCACATACACACAGTCATACACAACAATAGCACTGAAGTTCACGCAGCCATACGCACACAATAACACTCACGTTCACACAGCCATATACGGACAATGATACTCACCTATTCACAGAAATACATACGCGATATTACTCACCTACACGCAGTCATACACAACAATAGCACTGATGTTCACACAGCCATATGTACACAATAGTACTCACCTACACGCAGTCATAATACACGATATTACTCACCTACACATAGTCATACACACACAATAGCACTCACAGTCACATAGCCATATACGCACAATGGTACTCACCTACTCACAGTAATATATACACAATAGCACCTACGTTCACACAGTCATAGACACACATACTTACCCACACTCTAATTTGTTAATTTTTATATATAAAATTGGCAAGGGGTACTTCGACGTGATGTAATTGTTAGCAAACTTGTCTCGTTAAACAAATTACGATTGAATAGTGAGTTCGATCCATCACTAGGTACCCTATATTTTCGGCCTTATGCGACACCTACGGTACGCTTAGAAAAACATTTGGGCGCTCTGAAGCGGTTCAATGGTTAGAAAACTTGTCTCGCTAGGACAATTACGAATGAGTAGTGAGTTCGATCCTCACTGGGTGCCCCATACTTTCGGCCTTGTGCCACATCTAAGGTATGCTTGGAAAATCACTATATAATTGGGAAGATTTTGTTGGCGTGTTGAACGTGAGGAAAGCTTTCGGTTACAGCTTTTACATTTGTTATTCATCAAATGTTATAAACAGAAATACCATCGCACGAAGAAGGAGCAGGAGGCCCGTCAGCCTCCATCACTGATGAGAAGAATCAGCAAGCTCGACAGATGGTAATTGCGAATCGGGGAGTTTTCATCGATGAGGCAGCATGTTCTCTGCAGATCTGAATCACTACTCTTTGTTCCTCCTTGGTGCACACTGCTAACGGATCGGCCATGTTTACATTGTAACAGCAGCAAGAAAACTGGCGCGATCAAGCTGAAACTTTGATCACGTGACCACAATAGTACCAACTATAAGAACGCATGTACAGAAGGCAGTGTGAAAGTCCGAAATAACTGTCATGGCGAAAATGCGAATAATTTTTGACTTGCCTTCGTAGTTTAACTCTTATACACCGCCATTATTATAGGCTAGCGAATACTTTTCGTTCAAGTTTAAAACTCTCACAATAGATTATGAAGTTTAGCTATACAAATGATATTCATAGAGTTAACGTATCAGCTGTGAAAAAAGTGACACAAAACATTCATTTGCAAGAAGATGCACCCTTGTGAAAATTAATTGAAACAACTGCTTTAGTTTCTTTTCTTTCAACATACGGTCAGTTTTAGACGTGCTGGAGTGACATGGTGTAATCGACTTCTATTTTTTCTACTGGTTAAGTTATTTCCAGTGGTGTGCAGTAATATGAATCTATTTCTGGGGTGTATGATGAAATTTGTTTGGCCTCGAAAAATATTGAGTCATTCGTGATTGCATCAGATTTTCATCATGCCAGACACTATTGTCTCAAATGTCGATTAGTTGTCCTATGGCCATTGACGGTACTCCAAGGAAGCATAAGAAAATTGTAACGCTGCACAAAAACACTAGCAAGCCTTATCAGTGAGAAAATCAAAGTACTGGCGCGGAAATTCTCTTGATTTAAATCCAATCGACAATCTGGTCAATCGCCAAGGAACGAAGTACTAACATGTTCATTAGTTCATGTTTCATTG